TCCATCAGTTTATCCAAATCTACCCAGGTTTCTCTGAGACCATGACCTAAATGAGTTTTTATAACACAAATGTATCATATTAAGAGTGCATTATCAGTACATTCATACCCTGAAATTTGTTTAGTTATTTCCCCAATCGATGGGTACCCCCTTAGTTTCCAGTTCTTTGCCACTACAAAAAGAGCTGCTATAAATATTTGCACATAAGAATCCTTTTCCTCTTTCCTTGATCTTTGGGTTACAGAGGTAGTAATAGTATTGTTAGTTTTTGCAGTTTGGTGAATTTGGGGACATAGTTCCAAATTGCTTTGTAGAATTGCTAGACCAATTCACAGCTCCACCAATACTGCATTTGTGTGCTTGTTTTCCAGTGGCCTCTCCAAAAATTGTCACTTTTCTTTTCTACCATATTTGCCAATATGATCGGTATAATGTGGAACTTCAAAGTTGTTTTACTTTGTATTTCTCTAATTATTAGCCATTTGGAGCTGTTGATAGCTTTTTCATTTGAGACCTCTTTGTGTATATTCTTCAACCATTTGTCTAGTATAGGCAGTTTATTAATTTCTAAAGGAGAAAAAAATGCCCTCCACATATATTTTGCATTTTTAGTGGTTTATTTCCAGATATTGGCAAATTATGTTAAATATCTTGTGTTCTTTGTTCTGTCACATGAGATAGTCACTATCTACTGCTGCTGGAAACTAAGCAGATGCCTACCAATTGAGGAATGGCTGAACAAATTATAGTATATGAATCTAATGGAATCTTATTGTACTCTAAGGAATGTTGAAGGGCATGGTTTCAGGGAAACCTGGAAAGACTTGGATTAGCTAACGAAGAGTGAATTGAGTGGAACCAGGATGAGAATTTATGTTGTAGCAATGGCATTGTAAAGAAAAAAAACTTTGAAAGGCTTAAAAACTCCAGTAAGTGCAATAATCACATGTTACCCACTTGCCAACAGAGAAATGATGGGCTCACAATGCAGATTGAGACATATATTTTTTGGACAAGACCAATTTAGGAATTAATTTTGCTTGACTGTGAATATTTGTTAAGAGGGTTTTGTTCTTCTTGTTTTTCCACCAATGAGAAGGTAAGAAAAATAATTGTATTTAGTTTAATTTAAAATTTTCAAAAATTTATTTTTAGAAGTTACCTTTAAAATTTATCTTTAAAAGTTTATCTTTCGGGGACTCCTTTAAGATGCTGCTCTACCTTTCAAATATTAGAGGTCTCAAGTGAACTTTTGACCAGTTCTAAATTATAATCAATTCATGTTTGAATTCTCTAAAAGCTTAGAGACCTGAGAGTGTGTGTGTGTGTCTGTGTCTCTGATTAAAGAAAGATCTGGATGTTTTTGACATCAGTATTTGGAAACAGTATTATTATTATTCCATTTTGTCTACTTCTGCATGAACATGAGAAACTTATGATTGTCTAGGGGAGTTGAGATTCCCCCAAATTAGTCATGCCATAGAGCAGGGGATCTTGACCTGGGGTCATAAACTTATTTTGTATGTGTGAGAAGGACCAGTGTTTCCCCTATAATGGGCATTGACTCTACTATGTACCTTGGGCAAGTACTTGACCTCCAGATTCCCACATCATAGTGAGTAGGATTGAGACCACATACCCAAATAAAAATTCAGAGGTTTCTCAGAAACAGAAGTTTTATTCTAGCAAGTCTTGCACGAGAATTGGGCATCACCAACCCAGGGCAGATTGGAGTAGGGAGGCAGGATACAAGCCCCAAGCAAGCAGTTATAAACCCCTAGAAAAACAATTCTAAGAAAACCCCACCCTCCCGCCTTTTAACCTGAATCTCTTTATCCCCATTGGTTGAGGTAAGAGACCTTACGTTCTACCCAGAAAGTAACAGATACATTTTACCCAAAACAAGCTTGGAAGCTAGAAGATTGCCTTATTTGGCAAAGATAAGGCTGGTGTGGTGGTTACAAAACAAGGGAGGGGATGGGCAACAGGTGTATGACCCTATCACATGATTTACAGGAAAATGAAACTTAGGCCCGGCTAATGCTTAAAAGCTTTGACTAAATTTTGGGGCCTAGCTTCCCTTTCATATGAGAAACTTTCAGTTGTCCCACACAATAGAATACATAATTCTGGCATGCATGATGTTGACTGTTGCTATCAGTTGACTATCTCTACAGTAGAACCTCAGGGTTATTCATTGTTCAAAACAATTCATCCTAATATTTGTCTAAAATACATCTGTGGTATAAAATGTGATACACCTAAACTGTGAAGTTCTTTCAGTTATTTTTTGAGATTTGGCATGCTTTGAGAAAATACAATACATAAGAATTTGAACTTATTAAACAGATGAATGACTTTGAGCAAATCATTTTGTCCTGGTTTCCTTATCTGGAAAACGAGAGGAGTGGAATAGATGATTTCTGAGATCTAGGTCTCAGCCTATATAGCTATGATTCTGTAAATAAAAACAATTCTATATCAAAAACACTATCATTTTATTATTTGTTTTAGATTGGCTTCAATGCTGATGAAGCACACAATATTGTGAAAGAGGTAAGTTGTATGTACTTTGTTCATTGCATTGTACCAACTGGAATTTTCAAGGGTCGTGATTTAATGTTTAGTAGAGGGGAGAACATCAGTATTAAGACATCATCATTTTTTATATAAATTCCCTAAAGCACCATGGTAAGCTTTAGTTTGCACATGCATAATTTGCATATTGGTTGAATATTGTCACTTTCCTTGCGTGTTTTAAGAATTTCCTCAGTCTAGGGGAGGCATTCTTATTTTCTTAAACAGATGTTCTCTCTTCTAGGTAAAATGGATCTTAAAGACTTTTTATAAAGGCTCAGTAGGAAACACTGCATTTGTAACAAATTTTTCAGAAGTTATTAGAGAAACTTGTGATCTTTTAGGTACTTCACAAAATTAGTCATGCTCATAGAAACAGGAGTTCTTGACCTGGGGTCACAAAATTGCTTTTGTTTGTTTTTTATATTTTGGCAACTGTACTTTGATATGATTGACTTTCTTTGTAATTCTATGTGTTTTATTTTAGAACCATTCTGAAAAGGGTCCATAGGCTTCATTAGACCAAGACCACCACACCACCATTTTTTGTTCAGTCCACAAGCTACGAATGGTTTTTACATTTTAAAAACCATTCTTCGCTCTTGGGCCATACCAGAGATGGGGAACCTGTGGCCTTAAGGCCACATGTGGCCCTCTTAAGTCCTCAAGTGCAGCCCTTTGACTGAATCCAAACTTCACAGAACAGAATTCTTAATAAAAGGATTTGTTCTGTAAAACTTGGACTCAGTCAGAAGGTCGCACCCAAGGACCTCAGAAGGCCAAATGTAGCCTCAAGGCCCCAGGTTCCCCATCCCTGGGCCATACAAAAGCAGGCACTTAGCCTTTAGCCTGTGAGCTAAATTTTGCTGACCCCTGCACTACACTATCATGACACACAAAAAAGGTTAAGAATTCCTGTTGTATAGAAAAACAGTCGAAGAACTTGGAGTCAGAAGCCCAGGGTTCATATCTGCCACTTCAGTGTTTTTTGACCTGGGTTATATGTATGTAATAACCTGCATGTATGTGTAATAATAACAATTACAGCTAGCATTTATATAAATATATTGCTTTAGTGTTTGCAAAATGCTTGCATCTATCATCTCATTTGATCATAACAACCTGTGAGGTAGGTACTATTATTACCTACATTTTACAAACAGAGAAACTAAGGCTTAGAAAGGTTAAGAGACTTGCCCAAGACCACACGCTAGTAAGTGTCTGAGGCAGGATTTGACTCCAAGTCCAACACTATCTACTCTTATGCCTACCTCTGTATATATGTTAAACATGTTTAGTTTGTTTAGAAAAGTATTTGTTTCAGGTAGGCTTTTGCTATTTCTACCATAATTTGCCTAAGTAGTCAATATTTAATCTTTGTTCTCCTGTACTTTTAGTGTATAGATGCTATATTGGGCGGTGTGGATTATAATCAGAATAATGTCAACCAATGGACTGCAGCTATAGTGGAACAATCCTTAACACATTTGGTAAAATTAGGGAAGACGTATAAAATATATAGGTAAGTAGTGGGGTCTGTATTTACTAATTTACTCTTTCTGATACTCATGACTTTTTGCAAAATTTATAGCCTTCCCTCTCAAATATTTGAATGGGTCTGTGATCTTTCTGATTGAGGAGTTTCCTCCAATAATTCAAATTATAACTGAGTGATGCCTGCCTCTCCTGTTCTACTGTAGTCTGTGTTCTTCCAAAATTTAACTGCATCCAGCATATTGGAGGCTTTCCTCACTTTCTCTTGATATCATGAGGGTGCCAGTGAAGTAATCTGCTGAGCTGTCATCTTTCATACTTGATGTGTGATCTGTCCATGTTTTCTTCCTGTCATACAGTTCTTTGATGAAGTCCTTTGCTGTTGTTCTTAGAGTTCCTCATTGGTTATGTGCTGCAACTTCATACCCCCTGTAGCCCTGCCCTCTTTTTTGCCCTCTCTGTGATACTCATCTTTAGTTCTTTGGAGGCTGTGGTGCACCATGTTTCACTGCCATATAACAACACTGGTAAAATATTACTTTTGAAAAGATAACTTTTGCTTTCGTGGGGAGCTTAGGAGTTTTTCAGTTTCCCAAAAGCAAGCCATATCACTTTCTTTTTCCTGTTTAACTCTGAGCCCAACTTGTCCATCTTTACTCTTTGTCCCAGATAAACATACTGGTGGACAAGCTCTGTGGATCAACTACCCAAAAGCATATTGAATTTTGGGTACTAGACATTCTGCATCCACTTGGTCTCCCCTCTGTGGAAACTCCTGGGAGTGAAAAGGTTGTGCAGTGGTTCTGCATCTTGATGTCATCATCACAACATCAGCCACAAACGGAAGCATCTGAAGGACCTCAGCACCCGCAGGGAACCCTTTTTCAAACTGCACACTGGACTGGATATCTTCCATTACAGTGGTGAATACCTTTGATGAGCATACAGTCTTCCTGTCTCATGTGTTTTCTGATGTTCATTATTGAACAGAGTTCTTTCTGCTGCTTTTCTTCGAGGAATCTTGAATGATTCTGATGGGAGATTCCTTGTTGTGAAACACAACATTTTGTTCCACCATATCAGATGCCTTTTGTGGGGAGGCCTTATATTCTCCAGTCTTTCACTTAACTATTAGGTGGGAAAGATATGGTCTGTAGTTGAATTTCACTTGTGAAGCCTGCTTGTTTCTACTACTAATTTTCAAAGTACTAGCCTTCGGTGTAAGCTACAAGTCTGGTCCCTTTTTCATGAACTATACTTTCCCATGTATCCTTTCCTAATCTGTCTTAATCAGATATGATAGCTCCTTCACCTGAACCATTAGAGCAATTTAGTTATAACTCTTTTTTAACTCTTAACACATTCTGAATCACTTTATGGTACTGTCTTATTGTCTCTGCTACATTGTAAACTCTTTGAGGTGGGAACTTACCCTTCATTTACATTTCTGTCCCCCACAGTGCTGTGAACTTAATAGCCATACAGCAAATATTTGTTGAATAAATGAATGAATGAGTTAATCATTCAACAAATTGCATGGGAGTTTTAACAGTTGCTCTTGTAGGCTCTGCAAAAAAAGTCAGTCTCTCACTACACATGAAACTAATTTAGCCTTATGAGTAGCCATATACTTTCCCTGTATTAATGTTGCCTCTAACAGCACTGCTGTCCTCAGCACTGTTACTCTCACATTACATGGAAATGACCCTGCATTCTCAAAGGCTATGTCAGTCAAGAATAATTCCAGCAGCTTATATTGGGATAGAAAGGCTTTGAGTTTGGGCCTAGTAATGAGCTTTATGTTATTCAAGATCCAGACTTGCTAATGTGGAGAGGTTTATTACTAGGTTGGCCAAGGAGTGATGATATTCATTGGCCACAGCAGTTCTTGAAGACTGTCTTCTGAGTTAGAGAAGCATCATAATACACAGTGGTCGATGGAGTAGCTGTACCAAAGAAATAAAATATTTTTGAAATATTAAAATATTGAAATAAACTAATGTTTTGTTATTTTCTCTATCCACTCACTATTTGTTCTGTTATTCATTATTTTTATAGATTTCATACCTATGAAATCAAACATTACTTTGTTAAAGGTATGAAAACTTCATGTCTCTTTTTTTTTAATCTTCTTTACTTTTGATTTCATATATACATCTTCTCTTTGTTTTTGAGCTCACTCATCTTGTGTCTTTATCTTTTAGTTACTTGTGCAGTAATGCAGAAGAGTGGATCTGGTTTACACACAGCCAGCTCATGTTTTTGGGACACTACATCTGATGGTAAGAGCTTTTAAAGATATTCTATCAAAGTACAATCCATACAAACCAAATAAAATTTTTATGACAGTGCATTTCCTTTCTATTTCTATCATATTATATAAAAGTAGTAAGATTCTAAAAGGGGTCATAGTGCAGAATTATTTTTACGTGGTGAGACTCTCCTTATCTAACTTCAAGCAGATGCTGCTGAGGATTGATGGGGACAGAGCTGAGACTCTGCCTCATCCCATCCATGCCCCTGTTGACTACTTACAGCTGTACCAGGATCACTGCCTCAGATAGTATCCCTGTTCTGAAAGTGCCTTCCTGGACTATGGGAATGGAGTTTTTGCAAGTGTTGGAGTACATGCAGATTTTACATCTTGGTCCATAGCCTTGGGGGGGAAACTCTTGGTGGATTGTGGTTTATTCTGAGAGAGCATCCAAAATGAACCTATGATTGTGTAACAGCTGGATATAGCACAGGTAAATTAACTGATTCATATACAGACTTGGAGCCTTAAGGAATTCACAGCCACAAATTCACTCACAGGCAGACTGGTATTACTTGTGAAAAGTACAGTGGCCAGCTAAGACTGTATCATGATAACAAGATCCTTAACACATTTACAGTCTAGAACCAGTAGCCTTCTGCTGAGTCATAGGATCACAAATTTCAAGATGGAGGGGAACTTAGTGGCCAACTGCTCCAGCATTGTCAAACTCAAATAGAAATGGGAATCCCTGCCAGCAGCACAGACTTAGAAAACCACATATTAACATTATCTATGTTCCATTGTACTTTTATTTTGTTAAGTATTTCCCGATTACATTTTAATCTGCTTTGGCTGCACTCAGAAAGGTAAGTGTGTTTGATACCTCTTATCTACTCCAACCTACATGAAGAAATTGAGGCCCAAAGAAGTTAAGTGATTGGCCCAAGGTCACACAGTAAGGAGGAGAGGTAGATTTTGGAAATTACAGATCAGCAGAGATAAGCTTCAGTTTTCAAAATACTAGATATGAGGTAGTGCCTAATATGCATTTCTTAAGGGGATATTTTATTTATTTACTTTTTAAACATTTTAGACATGGTTCAGACAGCATGAGTATATTTTGATGCTGTTCAGACTTCACAACACACTGCTTCCTCTCAGTGTTTCATGAATGTCATCTTTCAAGATTTTCTAAAGCAAAGAGTTATGCTACAAATCAATGACATTCTAATCTGTTAAATGAATCACATTCACTTCATTAGTGGGCACGAGCCAAGTTGATGCAAGTCTGAAAGTATGACTTGTAAACAGAGTTGGAGGAGACAGCTCTTCAGGCATGATTGTGAACCACAAAGGCATCATCACATGAGTTCGTGGGGTCTACCAAGTACTATTTTTACATGTAATTTGGAAATATTTAACAAAAAAAATTTTTAAATGTATTTTTTTTAAAAGATGAAATCTAGTCATTTAGTAGAGTTACTTTTTCTAGCATCATAGTGGGATGGGCCCCAGAAAAAACTTACCTTCTCATCCAGAAATTCATATGGCTAGTACATATGGAGACATAATATGATCTAAATCAGAAAATTAAAGACTTTTTCATTTAATCACAAAATCTTTTGGAATTTAAAACAGCTGTAATCTAGTGCCCTTCTCCCTTAGCAATGACCATCCGAGCCTGTACAACAGTTTCAACAATGGTTGCAATTGGGACTGGAGGTCTCATTCTCTCTACTTAGCAATGTCTAGTGGCTTTGATATTACAGTCTATTGGAAAATACATAATTCTACAAACTAATGTGGGTAGACCAAGGTTTTGCTGACACAGAGTTTTGCCTGGGCCAAGTCTTGTTAAAGACCAAATTATACCAAGTACAGGAGTAAATGGCTGGGATTAGAAAAAGGGCTGGCAGAAAAGTTTTCTGAAAACATCCAAAATGTAAGGAGAGTTCAGTTATATGCCTGTATTTCTTAATAGGTCATAGGATTTTAGAGTTGAGGAGACCTTAGAGATCATAGCCCAACCCTCCTTGTTTAATAAATAAACATAACCAGATAGACTAAGTGGTTAAGAAATTGAGTCACTAGGAGTTGAACTCAAGTTCTATGGCTCTAAATCTGGGCATCTAATACCACAGCTACCTACTTCTCAATAGCTATAAATTAGTGAACCAGCTTAGTGAGCCTGCTGCGGTCAACAGAGTTTGTGTAGCTTGGTATAAAGGGCTGTTCTTATGTGTGGATACCACTGATATCCAGTCTCTGTTAATCTCTTGTAGCTGTGGAGTTTCAAATGCCTAAAGGGTGTTTTTTTAATTATTGAAATAATTCAGACATAAAAAATCTATTTCCTGATTATTTTGGTGTTTTCTGGTATTTTATTTTATTTTATTTTGTCTTTTCAGGAACCTGTACCGTAAGATGGGAGAATCAAACTATGAACTGTATCGTCAATGTTTTTGCCATTGCTATTATCCTGTAACTAAATGGAAATATTATACCAGCGCCTTTAACATAAGAAATTATCAAAATGTTCTTGAATAAAACTATTCATAGTATTACTTAATTATCTTATTTTTGCACTAGAAGTGAAAGTGTGCAATTGGCTTCAGAACAGTAAAAATTGACCATTGTAACTAACTAATATTAGCTCTCAAAGCATACTTTTAATTAAATATTTGCATAGTTAGAAAAATATCAGACCCAGAAAACTAAGACATTAAGATGTCTGAATACTGTATTTATATTTGCACCAGCCTTCCATTAACAGTATATATCCAGGGAGATGGAGGAATTAAGTTCGGGACAATAAAGTCTCTTGAGTTGGAAAAATAGAATTCTACCTGCATAAGTCTGTATAAATTAACCCAAGTTCTTAGTTCAATAATTACCAGTGCCTCATTTGGTTATACATGTAAGATACTATAAGTATTATATGTTTTTCTTTTTTATGGAGTACTGTTATATAGTAACTAGAATTAACTTTTAAAAAGTCATTATTTAATGATTTATTGCCTTTTATTTCAAAATTCCAAGTTAACAATTGAACAATATTGGTGGATTGATTTCTCCAGCCCAATAAAGTTCACCATAGAATAATAACAGATATACTGATTCAATAATAATTGTCTTTGAAATCATGCATTCTGTGTTCAACAAATATTTGTTGTTCACCCTCTATGTACTGCATTCTGTTTAGTTGCCACGTTGCTGGTGCCTTCCTCCTGGTTTGGAAACTGTAGCATTTATAATTTGGGTTGTGGACATGGGAGTAAAAGCAGTTGGTCTACAATTTAGAGCATATAACACAGTGGTACTTAATTTTAAGAGAAAAACAAAATGAGCAGAAGCCATGTAGAAGTTTGCTAAATCAAGTTCTTACTGTAAGTAGATTTTATTTACCATTGTAGACTTGACTTAGAGAAATATTTAAAGAAGGGATAAATATGCACATTTAATTTTGTTCTTAGTGTCATACCTAGTTAAGTTGTATTTATTGTTCTGATTATTAACTGACATTTGTAAATCCACCTATATGATGTTTAAAATATATAGAGTAAGTTATAAATGTAAAGTGTACATTCATTAGCAGGTTATGTAATAACTCAGGGCTTGTGAAATGTAGAAAAATATATTGAGAAGTAAAGACTTTAAATTAGTATACACACAGCTGGGCTACCAAATGCAAAGTCAGTCTGCTGTCTAAGCAAGAAAATAAGGTTGCAAATGCAAATTGTCTTTTAAGACTGATTAAACCTATAGAGTGAAACTAGTACATTGAGTTTTTGAAAAAAGGCTGAGTGATAATAGTAAATATTAATGGGGCATAAGGTGATATTTGCATGTTTGTATTTTAGCTATATAACAAGGACAGTTTAAGAACTTAAGATGAATATTAGAAAAAGATAAGTTCAGTTTAAATGCAGTAGTGTACCACTGTTGGTACATCAAAATTTATCTCATAACTATTACTTTGATGCTGTTTTTCTTATACTTGAAGATTGTACTAGAGTGATCAAAGTACTAGTGTAATTGAGTGATGTTATTGAATCTCAGTTTCTTAAAAAGTAATCACAGAAACATATGCCTTGTGAAATCATGTTTTAAAGAATTTGCTTGATACTGTTTCTGTAGCTAAAAGATAATAAAGATTGTCTGCCTTACCTGTACTTGGGCTTTCTGGATGATCATAGTATGATTAAAAAATAAGCTATCGTACTATTCTACAAGGTACTCAAGAGTGGAAATAGAAATGATCATGTGTGTATGGATACACACACTTAAGTATGTGTACACGTATATGTATGCACATATGCATGTGTGTATATATATCCTAATTTTAAATGCCCATGTGATTTAAGCTGAAGTTATGCTTTCAACTAGAACAAAATTATAGGTCTTTTTTTTCTTTTTGGTCTTTAAAATTTTACACAAAACAGCTCAGTGAAGATTAGCTCTGAAGCTATTTTCTCCTAATCCATGTTTATAGGAAAGGCATTGTTTTCCAACATGTAATTGAGATTTGTGTTTGTTTTTAATTAAGAGGCTTAAATTTGTGAAATTAGGATAGTAACTGAGCTTTAATTATACAAGGTTATAATAATGTCTGTAAACTACCATCATCCTGTCGTAAAGAGTAGTTAACATCCCTACATTTTCTCTAGTAAAAGTACTCTACTGTCATTC